TTAAATAAAAATAATTAATTACAAAATATCACATATCATATTATAATAAATGAGTTTACACCTTACTCTTCAGATGGATTGACATCCTACCAGTTTAAAGTGTATTCTTCCTTTTTATAGACGAGTTTCGAGCCAACTCCTGACAATTTATTCAAAAAAAATATATATTATAATAAATGAGTTCTATATTTTATGATCAGAAACAATTTTAATTAGAAAATAATTAAAAAAATTAAAACACGGCTTTATCACGCAATATATCTGAAGAGAAGACAGGGCTATTCCGAATTCTTCTTCCACAGTTCCACGGAGCTCAAAAGTGCTTAACCAAACATGGCCCAAAATTAACGGGGGAAAACCCGAACCCGTTGTAATTCTTCGAATGCTGACGCGGCATAATCTTATTGGTTAGTAGATCGGACTGCCACGCAAGAGAGAGGCTCCAAAAGAAAAATGCATCAACGGCAACGCTGAACTGCCGAAGCCGAAAACCGAAAATGGGATTCTAGAAACTTTCACAATCTTCCTTGTTTCCTCCTCATCGAAGCCCGACACTGTGATTCCAGAAATATGGTAAGAATCGAAATTATTCTGGTTTTTTTTATTTCATTAATTTATCTTGTTTGATTGGTCATTTTAAAGATTTTGAGGTAAATTTTTAAGGTTGGACGAGTTTTTTTTGTCTGTTTAGGGTAATCAGAATTCATTAATTTGTGATATTTTTCAAGGATTCATGGCATGAAATTTAGGGTTTTTCTTTTTTTTTGGGATTAGTTGCTCTTGGAGCTTGGATCGTAGTTTAGCTCCATTTTTATAGTTGTTTAATATGCTAATCTACGGCGGACGAAAGATTTTGAGTTGGGATTTTAATTTTATTTATATGCACTCACAAGCAGAAGCTAGACTTGATCTATACCAGAGGTATATCGGCACATATGACCTTCTTCCAGCTCTGAATTGTTTCTCTAATCTTGTAGAAGTTATGCTTTGATGTTGATTTTGACTTGTTTTTCGTCTCTGAGGCGTGAGGGATGTTTCCAACCAACTAATGCATATGTACCATGGTATATTGAATGTAAATTAAGTGACTTCTGGACTTCAATGTCAAGGTGGTCGTTAGTGGCCAAGGCACGGGCCTAATTTACCTCAGTAGATAAAAAGCTTAAGTCTTCTCACTTGGTTTTGGGATGTCAAGAACTTATATATATTGGGTAATTGTTTTGAGTGGTTTTAGGAAGTTTGGTAGGTTTACTTTGTGATCTGTGTGTTATAAGTTGAGTTCCACCTTCCACTCAACACATGTTGATGTCTTGGCCTAATCTTCTTAGTTCTCACCGCAATGAGTTTCTATTGCTAAATGATCAGGGTGGGTATGAAGGGACTTGCTTTTAGTATCTTCTTCTCTTTATGATTCATATTCATATTTTTCTTTAGCAATTACGCCCATTTACTGTGGGGCAGAAGTCCTGTTAGTGTTTCCCTTGTTGTCTTGTTTCTCCACGACCATACATTTGGTAGATAGTTGTCGTCGTGAGGATCCAAAAATAGTTGTGGATCTCTATTAAATTATTTGGAAAAATGGTTTTTTGAGGAATTGGTTGTGTTAAGTTTGAAAGGAGTTGACCCTAAACCTAGAAGTTTTCTAATTGAGAAAGGCACACTTTTTCAGTTGCAATATCTTTAATTAATGAAGTTCTAGATGTACATCAGGCTACACCTTTTTTGGCTGGGCTTGCAGTTGCTGCTGCTGCTCTTGCTGGTAGATATGGGATCCAAGCTTGGCAAGCATTCAAGGCAAGGCCACCTAGGCCACGTAAATTTTATGAAGGCGGTTTCCAAACTACTATGACAAAAAGGGAAGCAGCTCTTATTCTTGGTGTTAGGTAATTATGAGTTCAGGACATCTTTATTTAACTGCTGATACAGATTACTGGTGAGGAATCATATTATGGTGTATGATTGCTCTCTCTACACAGAAAGAGCTGCTTCAGAATTATCAAGTTTCTGGAGCATCCACATTAACGAATTGATAACTTTTATTATTTTGGCCATTATCACATGGTTTAATAGGGAGAATGCAACACCTTACAATTTTTTGGATTGTCTTGTGATTTAACAGGGAGAATGCAACACCTGATAAAGTGAAGGAAGCACATAGGAAAGTAATGGTTGCAAACCATCCCGATGCCGGTGGCAGTCATTACCTTGCCTCGAAAATCAATGAAGCAAAAGATGTGATGCTTGGTAAGACAAAGGGCAGCGGATCTGCATTCTAGTAACCATTGATTATGCCCTGATTTTAACAATTCTGGAGAAGTAAAGTTGTTGCAGAATCCTTTCAAAGTTGGCTTATTTCAACAATCCTAATTACTAGCTAGTTGCTACCAAAGATGAGATGGATGGATGCAAGGTTAGCTAGTGTAGATGAAATCCTATGTCCAGCTGTAATTAATGCCAGGATTTCAATGGGATTTACATTTTTGCTAAGACCTGGCCAAAAAAAAACTGCATTGAAATGTAAGTGGATTCTTCTTACTTTATTCTCCGTTGTTTCTCATGGTGAGAGATAAGTTTTTGAAGAGAATCGATTTGAGTTCATCTTGAGTCTGTGTTTTGAGTTTCCACCTTCCTTATTTTCATATCCTACTGAATTTCTAGAGCATTTGTTGAAAGCTGAACTTTGTGCTTTCCTTGTGAGATAGCAGTCACTAGAATTGCTTGTATGCTGCTGTGGCTATGACTTTTTTGAATTAAATTTTAAGATCAATTTATAGTGGCCAATAATCATGATATAATGCACCATATGAACTCATTAAGTATGGTAATTTGGATTGCAAAATAATAGTAACCATTCGATTGCGAGGATGTCTCTGACGGTGGAAAGAGTCCTTCCGTACAATAACTATTGTTTTTAGAGAAAATATCCAAATAAATATGTTAATTTTGTATTTTTTTATTTTAAATATATTAATTTTATTATATTGTAAATAAA